TGGCGGTTTTTAATTTGGCAATTTTTGTGTACACGTGCATTACTGAGCATGCGCATTAATGATTGGCAATTCCGCTTGCAAACCGCCAATCGCCAAAATAAAACTCCGCCAATTTTTCCCGCTATACGGTATTCTAAAAGTGCACAAAGGTGTTCAGATAATGGAGGACATACTGTATTATTATTAATTATTATTAAATTATTACTAATAAATACTAATAAAATTAATTCTTTCCTTCTTTTTTATTATAGGTTAATATACCAGACAATGTCACTGAGAGATATTCTCATTCTCTCTCAGTTTGGAGTGTGACTCCAACCACTAACTGGATAATTGTGTTTGGAGGAAAGAGGAACTTTTCAACAATCATAAGTGATCCAGCAGTTATTGAACTCAGTGAGTACATGTACATGTAGATTTGCTTATTAACTAACTCAAATAATTGATTATAATAATATTGTGTTACTGTATAGGATATACTATACTATATCCCAACTGAGTTTGACCCAAGAAAAACTGGAATAACTTTTTATAGGAATGTGGGATAAGGATGAGACTTTCACAGGTTCTTAGTCGCCCAATGCCATCACAGAATCTCAGGTCTTGGGTCTCTCAGCCCTTGGGAACCCTGAGAACCGGGTTCTCCCTATAAACCCAATGGCATACCAAAGTGACGTTTTATGACAATTTTCCTACGTCATAGTTTACATAAGAGCATGTGGTCGAGCGCCCAAACTGATAACTCTTCTTTTAAAAAGCTAACAGAGCAAGATCTTTTGATAATGATGGCCTTAATGAAGACTACTTGACTCAAGCAGCTATTGTGCTGCTTATCAGAACAAACAAAACCCATTTAAGAGTGCAATACAGGCCAACCACACAGCTGTAAAATATCAGCCATGCTTCTGTGAATATCATTATAAGACGTCATGCGTGACGTTGACTACATTTTTCAAATTCCAAGCGGCTGGTGTCAAACTCAGTTGGGATATAGTATAGTAATAATGATTGGTCTACTAGTATAATACCTCTGGACCAGTATCAAGAGAAACTACAAGAAAGGAGAAGAGAATGGGAAGCATCTCAACCTGTTCAACCTGAGGATAGAAGAGAATCTCACTGAACGTTGTCTGCTACAGACAAACAGCATCCAGCAATATCTGTAGAATAATTATTATTTTTAAAATTTTTTATCGAGTATTAAAATTTTATTTCTGACAATGTTAATTAATTATCTGACGTCATAGAAGGGTGGTACCTCCAATTAAAATGGCAGCCAAAGCACCAGGTCAGTATTTTGTTTATACTTGATTATGACTCGTGTGTTGTTACTATTAGTGTATCATTCAGTTACTGTTACCTCTTGTTATCTATAGACTATCAACCAGCGGAGAGGTGGGGTCACTCCACTGTACGGGTAGGAGACTACCTGTACATGTGGGGTGGGGACCAGCCTGGTCTCCCTAGAGTACATAATAATGAAGAGAAGAAATCAATGTGTTCTGTGATGGAGGTGTATCACCTAAGGACTGGTAGGTGGGAGCAGAAACCCACCACTGGTAACCCTCCACTGGGTGTTAGGGGCTATGCAGCTGCTGCCATTGGAAGGGAAATATTTTATTTTGGAGGCCATTGTGGTCATGAAAGATGCTATCATAATAGTTTATACAGGTAAATGCAATAGTTACTGATGAATATTATATTTTATACAGTTTTAATGTTGATACCTTCAACTGGAAGGAACTCTCTCCTACTACATCTCATCATGGTCCTATGATGAAGGATGACTGTGACATGATAGCAATAAAAGTGAACGGTGACGACTATCTTGTAGTAATTGGAGGACGTGGACCATCTTCTAATAATACACCCAAACAACCTGGTGCCCAGTACAGTAGTAAAGGATTTGTTTCTAGTTATCAACTATGCAATGAGATCCATTTCTGTAAACTCTCAACAGGTCAGAGCACATACAGTTTATATTAATATAATGAAGTATTGTTATTTGGTGGTTCTCCACTCAGACTGGTTGCATTGAGAATTGCTTGCTTGTTTGTTCATGGTTGTCACTCCTAATTATTTGATAATATGATCAAAGAAATATCAACTAGTTTGCTCTACCCAATGCATTCCATTCACACTAATTATTATTATTGATATTTT